CCCCCCCCCCCCCCCCCCCCCCCCCCTCCCCGTGCCCGGTCGCGGGATCGGCTGCGCAGCTGCCCGTCGCGATTCCCCGTCGACGATGACCGCAACCGTGAGGGAAGCGTGCACCACGACGCGCCCGGGACGATGTGCAATCCCATATGCGTGCACCAGGGAGAGAGGTTTAAGGAGACAGGACTCACATCGCGGAAGATTCAAGCCTAACGCGAGCCTCCGAGGGGTGTGATTCGTGTGCGCGTGCCTTCCACGATGAAGTGGAAACGCTCAGCGTCGAGTCCGCTGCGCGGACGCTTCCCCCGCGAGCGAAACCGCGGTCAGCTGTGTTGATCCGGATTTCTGCTCCTCCATGGCGGGACCGGAACGAGTCAATGATAGACGACACTCGGGCGACACTTGTGCGGTGATAAGGAACGCGTCGTAGAGATCGTGTCATCGGGAACGTGTGACTTCTGCGTAGTTTTGCAAGTTTCGCCGCGAGGTAAACGAGACCATCCCGACGACGGTGTTCGCGATGTTCCGCGACCTGGTGCGCGGTGCGGGCGGACAGTGCGCGTTTCGTGGGGCGCTCGCGGAAGAAGCTCGGCGGTCCCGGAACTCGTCAAGTTCGTATGGTATTTATTACGCGCAGAATTGTCGAATACTGTTCGACGACGGAACCGGAAACGGCAGTCATTACATGTCGCGGATACTTCGGCGAGAATAATTAGAGAAAACGAGAATCGCGGTTCTCTATTTCTTGCAGATCTAGGAACCCCGTTCAGTGTTTTATACGCCGGAGTCCCTTGTCGGTTCCTCGATCTTGACAATTTGACATTCCAGCATTCACATTCTCTCGAAAGCGCGTCCCATTAGTCGCCCGCATCTTTTGGATACCTTTAAGCACATTTATTTTGTACACTGAAAGAAAGAAAAGTGCTACATCCAAGTAAATATTTGCTAATAAACATCGGAAATCTAATTATTTTAATTAGATTTACCCTCGAACAAGGCTCATACGGTCATCCGTCACAGCAAGGTCGGTCGGATCCGACCGGTAGAAACAACTTGTAGTTTTTTCAATTAATTTTGTCGGCTAGCCACTTTTTGTTTCCATAATAAGTTATGAAATACTTGAAAGTAAATCAAATATATCACGAAATGCATAAAATATCTGAAATATAACGCTTGGTCAGTGCGTTATATCATGGATCCGGTCGGATCCGACCCAGCCTTGTTGTTCGAGAGTTAAGTAAATATTACTTGAATGTAGCACACTGAAAGAAAGAAAAGTGTTACACTCGAGTAACATTTTTACTTAATCCAAATGGCACTGCAGCACTTTTTTCCTTGAGCGTAGCGCAAACACGAAGAGACACGCGCCGATACCGGTGCCGGTTTGATGCATCGATAGAATGGTCTTCACAAATCGATCACCTGCGCACTTCTTCACCACGAGATACTTAGTCAATTGTAATTTGCAAATTCCCACTACACTTGTGTGTTTGTATGAAAATGCATGTAAAACGTGTCTGGAATCTGTGATCAATGCGAATTGGCGTAAGAGTCGACGAAAATTGGCCGTGCTTGAATAACGACGCTCTTGTTCAAATTTACAATACTCCGTTCTTACAAAAAGTGAAGAGACGAATGAAGGAAGAATAACAAGAATGAAACCCAGTCGTTTACGTCAGGGAACGGCGTTCTTGTAAATAATGAATGCCGTTATCGGTCACGTCGGCGCGGCGAGATTCCCTCACATTTTTTTGTGCGCGGAATCTACGCGCGGGAAGCACGTGGCGTGTGAGCGAGCTGATCTGTATGTTACAACAGTATTCTACCCGCGAAGAGAAAAGGCGAAGCAAAAGGAACGGACGGAGATTCAGAGCGCGAGGCTGAATTTCCGATAGTCGGGAGGGATTCGAATCATGATTCGTTCGGGAAATCTTTCAAACATTTCTTTTCTCTCGTTTCAGAACAAACTTATCTTCATAACCCGGATTAAAGAGATCATTTGTCTCTCGTAAGAACGAAAAGATGTTAAGGTAAATTTTCCTTCTTATTGCACGCCCGAATCGAATCACGTTATCTTTTTCTTGTGTGAAACTGACCGACCAAAAGTTGGCAGATTTGCGGAAATCTGAAACCGCACGGATGAAAAATTCCGTTGGTACAACTGAATTTTTCGTTGCCTGGGGATCGATCGAAAATCGATCGTAGGAACGGAAGGATTCCTGCAGGAGGTTTCTGCTCTCGACCAATTGTCCTCAACTGTCTGAAAAACCGACGCTGTTTTAATGCAACTGAACGTTCGCACGAGCGTGCTCAGTCAGCGCGGAAGAGATATGGTTCCCTGTGACCGAATTTTCAATTCCCGTCACCGAGCTTTCGTTTGGTCCCTATTCGGTTGCAGGAATTGAACGTTTTTTTTTTCTTTTTTTCTTTTTCGTGCGGGAGATTGAAAATCCTTCGCGTGGAAACGAAACTCTGTCGATTCCTATCGCTCGACCTATTTTCCGCGGGGATCTTATCGCGCGCCACTTTTTCCGCTTGCCCTTTGAGACCGGGGGAAAAGGCGCAAGAAACATATCAAGTTACTAGAACCGTAATCCGCTCGGATGCAACATTCCGTCCTACCATATTCTATACGGCAGCTCAAGAGTCTGCGACGTAAGCTTGGGGAATACGGACGCGATCCTAGCGAGATCAGTTCTTGCGAATCGTCGCGCCGGTAGAGCGCCGATCACTTCTCTGACCGAAATTAATTAAAATTAATTACAATTAAGATACGTGAGATTATAAAGAAATCTAAATTGAATAACCTGCTTCCGTTTCATCGATTTTATTCGGTCACTCTCCTCGCGTCTCCTGCATCTTCGATGTAACTTGCTGCCTGATGTCACGATCGTGCACGGAAAAAAATTAGTCTTAAATCAAAAATAGATATTCTCATGTATAAGCGAGGATATCATAAGGTCACTCCTTAGGTGACTCTTAGACTCTTGACTTGATTGAATTTATATTGATGCACGTATTACTTGAACTCAATTCAAGACTATAAATCTTCTAAGAAGATTATGATATTCTTGCTTATGTATGAGAACGTCTATTTTTGACTTAAGACTGATTCTTTTTCCGTATATTGCTTTGAATCACGAAGAGTGCGCGTCTCGTTGCGAGTTTATCTGCGAAAGGATCGGTTGGTACGTGAGAATATTAAAAACTCGCCGTCTGTATCGCGGTCTTGTGATGTTCGCCGGGCTAGAGGAATTCCTCATAAATACGCCGATTGATACTCCGGCTTCGTTTCTATCGAGCGTCCCGCCGTGTAATTACGAGTGCGTGCGCAAGGAAGACCGAGAGAAAGCTCGCCGCTGCTAAAAATAACCGTCTTCTCATAAAATGTATAATTCTGCTGAATGGCAGAGTTGTCCTTAATCGACGCTGCGATGCTTATCGGCTTATGGAATGCCCGTCGGAACAAATCACGCCGTTTAACTCCGGGCGAACTTGACATCGCGATTTGTATCGAATCGCCGTGATTCTCTGAACAGCCGGAACGATGAATATTCAGTAGTACTGAAAATCCCCGCGAGATTCACGAAGTAACAACAATTGTTGCACCAAATGACGCCGATAACATCGGAATTATGCTAAAAATTACAATATTCGCCGAGTTCGATAAAATTCATTTATATACGACGATAGTCAGATATTTCCGCTTAAAGCAAAACTTTTCTCCCCGCCGTCCGTTTGTCCGAAAGAATCTCTATCACTATGTATCACGAAGTCGTTGCAAGGCGCCACGACGGCCAGTTTCGTCAACGAGGATATCGTCCAGCCGTATCAATCCGCGTTGGGGTTTTCGCACACGAATTGACATGAAACAGTAAAACGTAAAACATAAATTTAGGCTGAAGAATCAATCAGAATATTGATTTAAGTTTGCGTATTGTAAAGGAAGAGAGAGGTGACCATGTGTAGATTCAGACTGAGAAACTAGGATTTCAGGCTAATAAAATCCTAGTTACTTCTGCTTATGGCCGTATTTACCATCAATTTTATATTTTTCCAGAATACACAAATTTTAAGACAATATCTTGATTAGTTATTCAAGCCTTAACTTACGTCTTACATTTATGGTCACGCTAATTCGTGGTGTGCGAAAACCCTTAACTTTGGGCCACAACCTTGCTTTAAGACGAAAGTAGTGAGCAAATTGATCAATTTCCACAATTTGCTTACTGCTTAAAGCAAGATTATGGGCCAAAGTTTACAATCGCATCTATTCGACGTTTAGTCTGAGTCTACGATAAATGTAATAAACCTTTAGTCTTTTGCTCTAAGCAGTAAAATGTAATCTTTTTTATAAAAGGCGCGTCCCACACTGCCGAAGGTCGCAATAACGTTTAAATCTCAGGAATCGCGCCGTCCAATAGCTGTGACAACGTTTTCTGTTATACGGAGAAGATGCTGGTAACAAAAATTACCACTAAATTTTGTCATGCCGAACCATATCAGAATTATAACTGAAATTATGACGTGTCTAGTAATCTTTAGCGATACATTTCACTGTACACATCACTAAAGATTACAAGACACGTCAGAATTTCAGTTATAATTCCGGTCCGGCCTTACAAAATTTCGTAATTTTTAA